ATGTGGTCTGGGTGATTTAACTTCTACCAGCCCCATGTGTGCAATGGAAATCATCACAGCACATACGTCACAGATTGTTGAAAGGATTAATGAAATGATGCATATAACTTAATTGCACCATGCCTAGCAGAGACATATAGTAAACGGGCAATAATTGGGAGCTGCTATTATCTTGTGATCATGATTGTATTCAGCAGTAAAGAAACTCCCAGGCTGGGCTCCAACACTTGATGAGAAGGTACCCGCCTTATGGCCTCTCCTGATTCTGATCCTCCTCCTCTGGTCCCAGCTGAGGGGCTGTACTTCAGCAACATCCAGTTTCCTGGCTCAGAAGATGAAGCCCAGCCGTGCAGGCTGATGGAGGATGCAAAACTTGAGGGGCAATGGAAGATCAGGTGGGGAGTCAGTGCCTCTAAGCTTTGGCCACATACCCAAGGACAGCAGGCCCTGCCAGATAAACAGTCGCTGTTGGGAGGGCTGCAAGATAGGACAGGGAAGGAAGATTGTTACAAATTGAATCTGATGTGCCCGATCAAACCATCAGCTCTAGGGGCCTGCTGTGAATTATTTACTCCCCACCCTATCTCTGGGACTGTAAGGGTAGGCAGGCTGGCAGCAGCAGGTGTTCTCCAAGCCCTGCTGCTCCCAGGCCAGTGTGACACCTGCAGTGACCATTTTAATAGACTGGATACTCTAGCGTCCCTCAGCACTTATCCTTGCCCCACCTGCCATTGGGCCTCAACCAGTGGGGAGGAGGTGTTTTAGGAAAATCCTGGGACAATTTAGAAAAGCCACCTGTCAAACTAAATCCTGTTATCACCATTATATTCAGAGGAAAGAGGCCTCCCATGCTAGGTGCTAATCCTTGACAAGAAGGTGCCCACTTTGTGGCTTTTCCCGTTTCTGACCCTCCTCTGATGGGGACCCTGGGAAGCCTGGCCTGGGCTGCCCCACCCACCTGGGATCTCTGTGACTCCTCCCCAACAAACTGTTTGGCTGGCTGAGATCAAGGCAGCATCTGTGCAGACACCAACTAGTGGACACTAGTGGACGTGCACAGGCACCAGGGGCTGGCCTTGCCTCCTGTCCAGGCTCCAGTCAGGAAGGCTTTTCTGGGCAGGTGGAATCAGAAATTGGAGAAGACTGCAACAGCAAGAAGGTGGGGTCAGGGCCTGCCCTGGGAACTGCCTGTGGAGTGGATCCATCTAGAGGTAAGCCAGTGGGCCTGGCTTTCAATGCGAGCTGGGGAGACGGTGCATTACATATAGACGAGTCAGGCTTAATGGGAGACCTGGGCCTCATTCCAACTGGATCATGAGCCCTTACCTGTCCAAGGTCCCCATGCCATATGCACTCGTCCTCCTGGAACCATAACTGCCACTGCCATCCTCAAGACCAGCACTCCTCCATCCCCTTCTTTGTCTGCTGGGTCTCCTGATGGCATTCATGACTGGCACCCATGACTGACCTGCAGAGTCACAGCTGACTGGATGGCTGCGGGGACACCCTGCCAGGGAGGCGACTCAGCTCCCGCAAGCAGTAGATGCTGAGGACAAGCAGCAGACCCCACGTACAGAATCCCGAATTCCAATCCTGCTCAAAGCCTCTCAGCTGTGTGACTTGGAGGAGTTGGCTACCCTCTCTGAGATCCTTCGTGGATTACATCAGATATTCGGGCCTACTTTTCTCAGCTGTTGCAAGGCTCAGAAGAGATCTTGCATAAAACACTTCGTAATCTTATTCCCATAAAGGGCCGCATTTGCGATTCCTAGAAACAGTCCATCACTCCCTTTGCAGTCACCAGGTCAGCACCGTCAGACTGCTCTACCTGGGTACCTTTACGCAGCCCTCTGCACCTCCATTTCCCCTCAAAATTGCCCTTATCTTGTCTTTTAACCCGAGGTGAGAGGCTGCCACTGAGGCTGTACTGCTGGGCCAGCCGCGCAGGGTCTCAACCCCACTGGCTGCCGAAGCTCTGGGTTCCCAGCGACCCCAAGGACGCTCCAGGAGCGTGACCAAGGCTCCGCGTCAGCTGACCAAGGCTCCGCGTCAGCCCGGGCTGCGAGGAGCTGGATCCCAGCCTAACCTGGAGAGCGTGGCCGCGGCTCCCTCCCTACTCCTCAGCCCTGACCTCAAGCTCGGGCCCTGATCCCTGAGCACAGGCCCCAGGCTCCACCCAGTCTCTGGGCCTTGAGATCCCGGCCCAGAGCTCGGCCGGCTGGGACGGTCCCTCCGCCTCTATTCCCAGGGTAAAGACCCCGGAACCACGCAGGAGTGAGGGGAGCGGGGCTGCGTCCTCCCCTACGAAGCTTGGGCAGCTGCTTCCAGGTTGCTGTCCATCCCGCGGTGCTGAAGTGCCCCGCGCCCCTCTGCCACATAACGAGGAGCCACCTCGGCAGCCTCCACTCAGGATCCAACCAGAACTGCAGGATGCGTCCACACTAATTCAATAACCTGCATGGGTCCTCATCTGCCTCAATGGTTCAGACCACCACTGGTTTGAACTGGAAGCACCCAGGGGTCGGAGCTTGCCTGAGGAGGCTCAAGGAAGGTCCATGACCTGTGCAAACCAGGCAGCGAGGAAGAGACGGGAAAAACTCGAATCCCATACTGTCCTGGCACTGGTAGGAATTCGCGTATTATGGAAACAGTCCCCGCCCACTCCAGGCCTGTCCTATGACTTGTATGGGGAGGCTGAGCCCCAGGAAGGCGTCCCTCAGTTTCTAGGATCTCGACGCCCTTACAGCCATCCAAGCTGTGCCAACACCGCTTCCTGCGAAGCAGGAGAGAAAAATCCCTGGAATTCCTCCCCTGCATTTTTCACAAAGTGAATATGTGTTCCTTCACCTATGAGTGCCCCCCCAGATCCCCGCCCCTGTACCCCGCCTCCTAAAGTCCTGGCAAGAAGTGAGGGTCAGCTATTTCCAATGAAGGATTCTGCAACCTGGGGACCAGATTTTTGTTCCTGAAAGTGTAAGATGGCACGGGTGCCCAATGCGCAGAGCATGATCGTAATGAAGGTGGCGCCGGGAAGCACGAAGAAAAGGGTTGCACCTCCCCAGCGCAGGGATTCGTTCAGAAAACAAGGTCCAGAAAGAGCAGTGAACAGCCCTGCCCCTCTGGCTCGGCCAGGAAACTACACCGTCTCCGGAGGCCAGGCCGCTCCTAGGGCCTCCTCCCGCCTCCTTAACAGCCCAGGCGCAGCGCCAGACCAGATAGTAGAGGCACCAGTCAGGCAGGCGGGTGCTGTCCAGCACGTTCCCCGCGAGCCGCGTGTGCAGCAAGCGCGGTGTTTGCAGGCCCAGCACAGTCAGCGCTCCGGGCCCAGGCTGGCCAGGTGGGGAGCGCGCTCGGGCTGGACGTGGCCGCAGCGGGCCATGCGCCACTGGGCCGGCGATCAGGCGGCACTGCTAGAAGCAGGCAGCGCTCCGGAGGCCCCCCCGCGGCCCGCACCTCGAGCATTGCCAGGCTGCTGGAGTGGCCTTGCGGACACACAGGCGGCAGCGGTGCTGCGCAGTGAGCAGTAAGCAAGCGACCGTGGAGCGTTTCCCATGAGAAAGCAGAACCTGCGCCAGCGAGGGCTCTACAAGGGGCTGCTGGTCCAGGGGTTGTTCCCTACACCCATTGCCCAGCGGCTCCCAGCCTGCCCTGGGAGGCTGGAGATGCAGCCAAAAAACAGGCTGTCTCCCCCAGTCTGCAGTATGCCGCACAAAATGACAACCCAGAGCTCTTCCACGCGCAGCCCTTCTGCAGCTACCCAAATCCTACGCCCATGAAGCCAGCCCTGCCACTATTCTTCTCACACAGGCTTCACTAAACTTTACACTTCAGAAACTTTTCTGTTACTTGCTATGAAACAGCCACTCTCCCCCCTTGCCCGGTCGCCATGATAAGGGGGAGGCAGGGTAGATCCATCCAACCAGCCCACACGTACCCACGTGCAGCCTTATCCGAGGACGCAGCAGGTCTCCACGCTGCCTTGCCAAAAACCCCAGCTCCTTTCTGCAGCTCTGACCACCCCCCTCCCCAGGGCCACACCTGGAGAGGGAAGTGGCTAGATAGAGTAGGGTCTTTAGTGGACTTGCTGCCTCATTCTCAACTGCTTGTCTCAGTTTCCCCTCTGATATCTACGAGAGAGTAGTTCAGAAGTTAGAGTACGGTTTTAAGTGGTAGTAGTGTCTGGGAAGTCTCTTGAAGGAAGCTAAAGTTCTGGGTACTGGGTTTGAGGGTGGACCTAAAGAGTTGTTTCTCAACTCTCTGAATGCTATTTCATTGCTGTGAAATGATGCCCTCCCCCCACCTGGAAAAGACTAAGGAGGGATAGACTGATCTACAGTTAGAGAGAAAGAACTTCCAAACTGTGAAAGGTCCTGAACTGTGGCAAGAGCAGTGACAGTAGAGGGCGCCAGTGTTGTGCAGGCACACTCCTGGAGGAGACACCTGCAAGCATGCCCTTTCCTCACACCCTCCCCACCCTGGAAATCTGCCCAGCACCTCCCCCCACCAACACACACACACACACATTCCCTACCTCACAGGCATGTCAGAAGTCAAAGAGCTAGGACTCCGAGGCTCAGATTCTCCAACTGGCCTCCGAGGGACCCTCACAGACCTTTTGCTTAACCCTCACCCTGCCCCAAAACTATTTTCATGAACTGTGGTAGCTCTGTTCAATGAGGAGCTGGGAGGAGGAATTGAGACTTCCAGTTTCCTTGCCCATTCTGTGGTCCTATCCCTGCAGCAGGAAGATGTTTGTTACAGTGTTGTCTGTTTGTTTATATTTTTGAGACAGAGTCTTGCTCTGCCACTCAGGCTAGAGTGCAGTGGTATCAGCCTAGCTCACTGCAACCTCAAACTCCTGGGCTCAAGCGATCCTCCTGCCTCAGCCTCCTGAATAGCTGGGACTAGAGATATACACCACTACACCTGGCTAATTGTTCTGTTTTTTCATAGAGACAGGACCTCACTCTTGCTCAGGCTGGTCTCAAATTCCTGATCTCAAGCAATCTTCCAGCCTCAGCCTCTCAGGAGTGCTGGGATTACAGGCGTTGAGCCACTGCACCTGGCCTGCAGTGTTGTTTGTAATGGGAAGTAGCCCGATGATACAACCTGAGTATATTGTTGAGCCACAAAATGAAAGTTGTGAAGGCTCCTCAGTAACATAGACTCATGTTTACACTGAAATGTGAAGGTTAGAAAGCAGAGCACTAAATTGTTCACTATGGCAATAGTGTGTTTGCATATAGATGAATACCCAAAGAGAGCACAGAAACATTAAACATGGATTAAAAAAAGAAGGACTGCAGCCTCCATGGGTGCTGGCAGGAAAGGGACTTCTGTCCCTGCTGGAATACGGCACAGATCCAGGCTGGGGAGTGGCAGAACCTGGGCCATTGATTACACCTTGTTCTGCGTGGATTTACTCTCAACATCCAGGGACACAAAAACTGGAATCTCTACAAACCTTTCTCTGAATCATCTTCCAATCAGCAGAGAATCTGAGGGTAGGATGGTGATTATTTTCTTTAAAACCTTTTTTCTTAAAAATATGTCAAAATTATAAAATGATTGCTTCTGGGAGACAATGTTATTGGTAATTTTTTTCTCTTACTTTCCAAATGTTCTACAATGAGCAGGTTAATTGGGTAATAAGGGGGAAAGAAGTACACACACACACACACACACACACACACACAGCTGTTTTCTCAATGTTGCCACAGCATTTGCTAAAGAGGGACTATTTCCTTACCCCCACGGCTGCCTGTGTGGCTCTTCCTTTTTCTCCCCACCTAACTCCCCTCTGATCACTGTCACTGTCTGAGGGGTCCCTCCACCACAAAATCAGAAGGTAAATGAACACACCTGGAAAATCCACAGGTGCTCTGATCTCAGCCTCCTGCTAGCGTGAGCCTGGGCTCTTGTGGCTGAGACACTGAGAGGGGAGGGGACAACCACGGGGGAGTATTCCTGAACTTTCTGCAGGGCAGGAACAGAATATATGTCATCTCCATCACAGGACTGTTCCACATGCCTTATTGCTATTGTTATTTTCAAATTGTTCAGGGGCAGAAGTTTCTGCCAACTCCTTGATCAAGGAGGCTTGGTGACAGTCTCCAGATCTCCCCAGGGATCTCTCCACAGTCCAGAGAAACAGGGTGGGCACAAAGAGGAGGAAGAGAGACAGTAGCCCCCCACAGGTGCTGGCGGAAGGAGCTTTCTGTCCCTGCTGGAATATGGCAGAGATCCAGGCTGGGAGTGGTGGAGCCAGGGCGGGCTACTGATTACACCTTGTTCTGTGTGGATTTACTCTCATTATCCTGGGACACAAAAGCTGGAATCTCTGTAAACCTTTCTGTGAATCATCTGCCAATCTGCAGAGAATCTGGGGGTGTGGAAAGTGAGGACAGAGGAGGCTGGGCTCCCAGCAGGAGGGCAGCATGTGTTGTTGTGGGAGGTGAGGTAGCACAGGAAGAGCTCTGGGAAGGGGGAGTACAGGAGTCCAGGGTTCAAATCCCACCTCTGCGCTCTCTTTGCTGGGCAAATTGAGTGAGTCACTGCCCTCTCTGGGCCTTGGCTTCCTCTTCTGTAACTCAAAGAAATAACTGAGGATCCCTGTCCCCTTCAGGGGTTGAGTGACCCTCTCTGAGCCTGTTTCCTGGTCTATAAAATTGGGATTTTGATATCCACCCCTCCACCAAGGGAGAGATCAGTCCAACCTTCTAATTCTAACAATCAAGTCCTGTCTGGCTGGCCCCAAATGCCTCTGCAGTCTTACCTCTCAGTGGTCTACCCCCGCATTTAATGCTCCTGTGCACCTCACCTGCATGCCTTTTCTCTTGTCTCCCCTACCTGGCTTCCCCTACCCCTTTGGTTCATACCTACTTGTCTTTGAAGACTCAGTTCAGGTCTCCCCTCTTCCGGAAAGCCTTTCCCAATCTCTTCCCCGCTGGCAGGATGAGGCGCCGCTGCTCTGGGCTCCTGTGCTAGTCCGGGTATAAAGCCGTGGTTGTCCTGAAGGACTCATACTTAACAACTGACGCTTATTGAGCACCTACTAAGTGCCTGGACCTCTACCGGGCCTTTTGCCCAGCATCATCCTGTTGAATTCTGACCATGCACATGTGAGAGATCTGCTATCTTTATCTTCATGTTCCTGATCAGAATACAGCCTGAGGGAGAGGAAGGGTAGGTGTTGGGGTTGGGGTGTGAAGCCCCTGTTGCTCCAAATCCTCTTCTGATCTTCTACCTTATTGCTCTGTCTGCCCACCTCCCACTCCACACATAAGGCATGGCAGTTTTCTGTTTATGGGATAAACACTTTTCTGTTTAGGGATATGTATTTGACCTTCCCCTGGGCTGTGAACACCAGGAGCAAAGGTTCTTAGCTCCCTTGTACCTCTAGCCCACGCCTGTCACAGTCCCAGGAAGGGCCGAATCTGAATCTCACTTCCTCACCCCACGCAGTTGAGGCTCCCCTTTCCTTGCCCTTGGGAGTCTGGGAAGAGCCAGAATGTGCCAGGGGTCCTTCCTGGGCCTAGCCCAGGGTCCCCTCCAACCAATGCTGCATCCACAGTCACCTAGGGTCAGGTTTAATCCAAGTAAGGGACCTCTGCTTAGAGGTCATGGTCACATGTGCCAATGTACCAAACCCTGGGCCAAGAAGATGGGTATGACTTCCATTTCACACATAAGGGAAACTGAGGCTCAGCTGACATCATAGAGCACGTGGGTAGAGCCAGAAGACACTGCGGGGATAACCTACCTCAAAGCCCTCCAGCTTCCCTACTGCTTCCCTCCTGCTCTGGACAGGGCATTAAGAGTGAAAATCCACAGGGGACAAGGACTGTGATCCATCTTTGCACCTGCCATGGGCCAGCGGCTACGCCCAGGCACTGTGAGGCTGGCTGTGAAAGTCCGGGCTGAGCAGGCCTGGCTCACAGCAGGTTCCCAGGAACTGTTTATTGGCAGAGGTCAGGGCAGGGATTACCATCTCCACTATAGATGAGGAAGTTGCAATCAGAGAGGAATAGAAAAGTTGCCCAAGGTCATCCCTGAGTCAGAAGAAGAGCAAAGACTTGAACTCCGCTGCAGGCGGGAGCTGCTGGGCTGGGCTCTCCCACTCCGGCTGCCTGGGGCTGGCAGCTTTATGGGCCCTATAAGAACATATCAGCACTCATCCCTGCTCTAATGACCCTGAACCAGGCCTTGCCTCCTCCAGGTAAGCTAGGTCCCAGGCAGCCTAGACAGTGACAGGTGACTGGTTTATGGAAGGCCAGCATTGGGATTGGGACTGGGCAATAAGGCTGGGAATGCTAAGACCAGGAGTGGGGAGGGCCTGTAATCCTGTGTGACCCTAAAGTTAGAGATGGCAGATAGAGCAGGAGCCACCCCCTGACCACCCACATAGCCAGTGTGCAGCTTCCATGGTGCCCACAATTAAGATGCAATCTGTGAGGACATACACTTCCTTAATGTCCCCAAATTGCTCAGAGGAATGCTCTGTCAGGGACTGGTTCTTCTTATCCATTCTTTTGGACTCGAAACAAACACACACTCCCCTCCCCTGGAGCACTCCAATGCAAAAGCTTAAGATCAATAGTCCCTTAACCCCACCAAAGGTTTCCAAATCTTTCCCCCACTCACGAGGGAGCTGGCCTGGGCTCACAGGGACTCTCTGGGGTAGCCTCAATTCCCAGGAATAGGCCTCCTCAGTCCTGAAAGAGACGGTTTTACAGCACTGTGAACACAAATCCATTCCCCAGAAAAGGCTCTGGGGTGTGGAACCCCTCCCCCGATTGTCATGGTCCCAGGTTGGTGATTAAATTCGAAAGTAGCGTTGACAATAGGGCCCTAAGCCTGATGTGGACACCCCGTCCCCTCCCACCTGCCTCTCTGTAGGATCAAAGTTGCTCAGTGAGGCTGTGTGATCCTGGGCCAGGAGGGGGAAGTCAGCCAGGACTCTAAGCCGGGAGGGAGCCCCTTTGACTGCATGGTTCTGGGGGAGGCAATCCCCCCTCTGCTGTCCCTAGCCCAGGTTCAAAGCAGATAGGGGCCGAGAGGTTGGCAGCGGATGGGGAAGTGGCTGGACCAGAAAACCGGGGCTTCCTGTTGATGGAGGGGGTTGAGGTCCACTGCCTGGTTCCCTGTCCCTCTCCCCGACATCAGTCTGAGCTTCCCAAACCCCCACAGAAGCCCCGCACCCCATGTGGGATGCACAAGACCTGCAGTAGCAGGGGTCCACAGCCAAGAGAGGAGACAAGAGGCAGCTTGGGGGGGGGAGCAGTCCTATTTCCCCAAATGCTGGGGCCTCCCAAGGGAACTTTCCTTTCCCTGGACTCCTCTGGAGATCCTGGCAGGTGGGAGAACCAGGGGTCCATTCAGATGCCAGTCTCTTCTCTTCCCATCTCATCCTTTGGATCTGGGCACCTCCATAGGACCCAGCCCCTCCCCGCGCCTTCCCCCAGCCCTGGCCCTCACATAGACACCAGCTTTGCTCTGTGTTGGAAGAAGCGTCTTTGGTCTGCTTAGAAATTAAGTCTGGAGCAGCCTGGGAGGAAACGGAAAAAGAAATGAGAGCCGGAGAATCAGTGAGCGCTGCCTGACAGAGACAGGAGCCCTCCTTCTGGGGCCACCGATTCAACGAACAGCATCGCGAGTCCCTCAGCCCCCTCTCTCCACAAGGCCATCCCCCCCGCCGCGCCCCGGGCCCTGCTAAGGTCCCATTATGAGACCATTGCGCAGTGGTTGGCAGCAAAATGAGCAAAGTCAGGAGTCCCGGACACTCGCCCCTGTGCAGGGTCGAGCACCTTGTGAGGTAGCTTCCCTGTCCCCAAGCAGGGACGGGAGGTAGGAAGGGGGCGGGGAGGGCGACGCTTGTCAGTGGAGAGGACACAGGGCTAGTGAAGGGGCCTCCGGCACGAGGCAAAAGGTGGCGGGGCGGGACGGGTCATGCAGGAGAGCGGAGAATTTCAAATCAGGGACGGGAGGAGGGGACGGGAGGGGAGGCTCCGCCAGGAGGAGGAGCTGCCTCCCGCGTCCAGCTGTCGGGGCTACCTCCCGTCGCGGCTCCGCTATAAAACCCGGGACCGCATGATCGCGGCATCCTCAGCAGGCTCCTGGGAGCTTGACCCCCGGCTCCGCGGCGTCCTTGCTCGGTCGCGATGCTGCTGCTGCTCGCGCTCCTGGCCCTGGCCGCGGACGGAGCCTCGGCCACTGAAGGTGAGCTCCCGGGCGTCGTCCCCAGGAGCCCCGCGGTGGCCCCTCTGCGCCCCCGGCTCCTGCCCCTGCCGAGGCTCCAGCGCGGGCGGCTTGCGTGTGCGCGGGCAGCGGCGACGGCGCGGGAGGCGGGGGCGGTGCGCGAGCTCGGGTGCGACACGCGTGTGCGCGGCTGCGGTGTGTGCGCGTGGCCCGGCGGCCCGGCCAGGCGGGTGAGAGTCTGCGATAGAGATGCTGCTCCGGCCCGCCTCGACGCACGCCGGCTTTTCTCCTCCTGGTCCTGCTCAGTCTGTCCGTGGGGCCGTCCCACTGGGGCTCGGTGCCAGGTGACTGCCCCCGGCCCGGGCACGAACTGCCCATTGGGTGCGGTGGGGTCCTGTCTTCCCGCTTCTTGCCTCGGGTTCCTGGGCCGCCCCGAGGGCAGCAAGCTGCGGTTATCGCCCCAGTCCTCAGCTCCGCATTGGGAGCCTGGCTGGGGACACCCAGAGACCCGAGGTCCTGGCGAAGCCGGTCTTTCCAGACAGGGTGATTTTCGTTTAAAGATTAATATTGAGGCTGAGCTCTTAATTATTCGTCCAGGTGGGAGGTGACAGGAGAGACGTGTTAATGTTTGATAAGGAGCTAATGGCCTTCCAGCGGTGGGGCACAGGGATCCGGAGTACCTTCTCTGCGACCCAACACCCCTTCTCAGGAAGGCTTCAGCAGCCGGTTCCCACCCCGGTGACTCCTGGAATGGTTCTTGGGAGGTCCACGCCGGCCAAACCTCCTCTCTAACATTCGGTGCTCTGCCCTTGGTGGCAGGAGTGAGGGCTGAAGGTGTAGAGAGGGAGAGAGAGTGTGTCCCTTGCAGGAGGGACGTGGGCGGTTGGGAGGATGGGGGACATCTCGCAGCATCTCCTCTGGGCCCTGTCCCCGGGGAGGAAAGAGAAAAGGCAGAATGTGAAAAATTTTATTTGTAAGGTTGGGTGTTTGAACCCTACCAAGCAGCTAGACATGTCAGAAACATAACAGCAAGAGAAATGCTTTGCAATTAACTATGGAGCTTTGTAGCTGTATGGCCTTGGATAAGTCACTCCACTTCAGTTTTCTTATTCACGAAACAGGGATAGTAATTGCGACTTCAGGTGTCTAAAGGATTGGAACAAGGTAATGAGAGTACGTGCACACTGCGGTGCCTCCGCGGCATGCGGCAAGTGCTTGGCACACAATGGTTAGGAGGCTTTACCGCTGGCCTGGAGTCCGTCCTTGCCACCCCCACACAAGCTGTGCTCCCCTTGGGTGCTGGACTTTCGACTGGGGCCTGCTCTCCTCCACCCACCCATCCCAGGGGGACTTAAAGCTGGAGAGTGACCAGGCAGCTCGTGGAAATCCTCAGAGCATCTGGTCTCTTCGAGAGGGGGAGAGAGAGAGGATATTCGGCCCCCTTCGGTGCCCCAGACCCCTGGCCAAGAGTTGCTGAGACTTTGCCCAGGACACACTTGGGTTTTGCTGAGCTGTTTTTCAGGATTACTCCTCTTCCCTTAGAGTGGGAGGGTGGGGTGAGCAAGGTCCATTAGAGGGAGTTTCTTCAGTCATCTCTAAAAAAGGGGGATGGGGTGGGTCGGGCTCGGTGGCTCACGCCTGTAATCCTAGCACTCTGGGAGGCCGAGGCAGGAGGATCACTCCAGGTCAGGAGTTCAAGACCAGCCTGAGCAAGAGTGAGACCCGATCTCTACTATAAATAGAAAGAAATTAGCCAAACAACTAAAAGTAGAAAAAATTAGCTGGGCATGGTGGCGCATGCCTGTAGTCCCAGCTACCTGGGAGGTTGAAGCAGGAGGATTGCTTGAGCCCAGGAGTTTGAGGTTGCTGTGAGCTAGGCTGATACCACAGCACTCTAGCCCAGGCAAGAGAGTGAGACTCTGTCTCAAAAAAAAGAAGGGGGGGGTAGGGTAGTAGGTAAGTCAAGGGTGGGGGACAGTGGCTGGGTGATTGACAGTGGTTTTCAGGTGTCTAACCCCATCTTTGGCCATGCAGGTGGCCCAGGTAGGACCTGGAGCTGTGAGTAGCCCCTGTCTTTCCCAGGCCACCTTGGAAGTGGCCCGAGCCAGTGAGCTGATAATTATCTGCAAGGGTGTCCCTCTCATGAGCCTGAGAGCCAGCACCCCACCCTCACTCCACGACACAGACCTGACCCCTGGCCTTGGCCTCATCCCCATTATGTTTTCTTGGCTTCTGCTTCCTGAAGAGCGTAGTTACAAGAGCATTCAGCCAAGCAGGTCAAAAGTCTCTATGATTAAGACAGTGGATCAGAGGTTACTACTACAGACCCGGGAGCTATAGCCAGAGCTAGGGAAGAGCAAATTCCTATGAAAAGCTAAACCTGGGCCAGATGGGCCCCCCAGGGAGGTTCTGAGAGGCTCACAAGAGGGCCCCACCCTTCATAGTGGGGTCCTGAGGACGCTGGCTTAAGCAAGGCTTCTCCTGGAACAGCTTCGCCTTGGGCCTGCAGTCCAGAGGGCCCAGCTCAAGCAACGAGACCCCTTCTGCCTTTGGGCCCTCCAAGGGGTGGGGACTTCTCAGAGTGTAAATGACCTCCAATTGGCTATCCCCTTGGACACCAGCGCTGGGAGGTCCACAGCAGCACCTTTTGTCTGAGGAAGAATGTGCAGCTTAGAAAAGTTAACTCATTCTTTGGTATTAAGCAAGAGGCAGAGCTGGAGGCAGGTGCATGGTCTCCAGCTTCGGAGCTCTGCACACCCGCAAGGAGGGGCCTGGGCGGGAAGCGACCCCTGTCCTTTGCAGAGTCAATGTGTGTGTGGGGACTCCCCGGATACAGCAACTCCCAGGGCAACACAGCCCTGTCGGGGCAGAGGATGGAATGCCGGGGGGGGGGGGGGGGGGGGGGGGGGGGGGGGGGGGAAACCTGCATCTCTGGAAAAGGCTATCCGAGCAGGGTAGGAGACGCATCGGTCTAGAGCTGGGAAACCAGAAACCCAAAGCGGCTCTTTGGGGCAAGAGAGAGGGTGGCAGTTTCCTGCGGATGCTCACCCCCCTGGCCGGAAGCCTTCCCCACTAAAAGCCTGACCTTCTCACAGCTCCCTTCCAGCCTGGTCCCATTCCAGGGACCCCTCCGCTGGCCCAGACAGGAGAGGAGAGGCGGCTGGGGGCAGCCGGGGCAGAGGGGAGAGGGCACCGTGCTCAGAACCCTTAGCTTCAGCTGAGCTGGGAGCCGTGCTTTTCTTAGGCATTTCCTCATCCCTGAGTTCTTTCCAGCCCACTTCACTTCTCTCCTCTCTCTGCCCCTCCTTGGCTTCGGCCATCTGCTCACTGACAGGAGGCCACCAGAGGGAGGGAGGTGGGGGGGGAAGGGAAGGACTTGCCGATGGGATTTTACTAAGTGCCAGACTGCCAGGAAGCTCTACACCATCCCTCATTTAATTCTCCCCACAGCCCTATGAGGTAGGTATGTTAGTCCCATTTTACAGATGATACAACTGAGGCTTGGAGAGATTAAGGGACTTGCTCCCAAACCCACCTAAACCCCCTGAGTGGCTGAGCCAGAATTCTAGCTCCGGAAGAAATGCTCTGTTCATCCTGCTGGTGCAGCCTTTAAAAAAAATTAATGGACTCTATTTTTAGAGCAGTTTTATGTTTATGGAAATATTGAGCAGAAAGCACAGAGGGTCCCTATGTGTCCCCTCTGCCCCTGCACACAGTGTCTGCCATCGCTGACACCTTGCATTAGTGTGCCACATTTGTGGTGCAGCTCTTTTCAGAGACGCTGGGCTCTACTGTCCTGAGTCAGAGCCAGGATTAGAACCCGAGTCTGTCTGGCCCCGAAGACCAGGACTGTGGGGTGGTGGGGCAGGGGAAAGGCCTGGCTGCTTTCCTGCCTGTGGGAGCTGTGAAAGTTTAGCCAAGAACAGGGCTTACTAACACGAGGCGGGGCATTCTGGGGACGGGCCAGCCCGATATCCTCACGCAACTCACATCAGCTGGGAAAGCTGCCAGGCTGGGCCTGACTCTATTGTCCTAGGAGTGGAGGCTGGGCCCTAATCCTCCTCTTCCTCTCTCCCCAGAGCCTCCCTTCCAGGTTTGGGATGGGAGATGGAAGGGGAAGGAGGAGGCTGATGACCAAGGGACGGAGAGTGTCCAGGCCAGCTGCATGTTAGAGCTGAGGCCTCAGAGGGGTTCCTGGAGGGCTGGTGGCTGCTTCGCCTGGCCCTGCCTGGGGAAACAGTGCCTTAGGCAAGCTGACCAGTTGATCAGCCCATGGGTTGTTTTCTTACTAAGTGTCCTCAGTCCCACACCACAGGAACACTCTCCACCCCAAGCCAAGGGAGGGCTTCAACACGAGGGATATGACCAGCCTCTCATTCCCCATGTACATGTGCTCACAGATGCGTGTGCACACAGACACACTGACACGCGTGTGCACAGGCCTCACCGTCTTCCTCTCTTGCTGCAGATTTACACTGGTGCTACCAGGTTCAAGCCCAGGCCTCCAACTGCTTGGGTGAGTATAGCCAGGCTTGGGGACAGGCCTTTCTGCACGGTGGGAGTCACCCAGGTTGAAATGGAGCCCCAGGAGGGTGGGAGGGATGAAGGATGGTGGTGGTCAGGTATCAGTTCCCAACACACACTCCTAGTGCTCGGGGGACACAGAGTGACCTGAGTCTTCACTGGCACCTCCTGTCACCCAGACGGTGAGTTCCCTGTGGAATAAATCAGCAGCAGCATTAAAGGGAGAAAGACATTTTGCTATTTCTCATAGCAAAAGGGAAAGTTGTTCTATTCCAGTGACACCCTTTGCATGTGGCCCTGAGAGATGGTCCTTTACACTTTTATTCACATACAAACCAATTTGCCTGGAGTCTGCTTTCCCCCTGCCTCTGTGTTTTGGGGACTGGAAACCCTGCTCTCATCCTGCCCCACATCATGGCCAGGCTCATTGGCTTTGCATGTGTCTGTCTGTGGAGGAGGAGGATGACGGAGAGGAGGAGGAAGGGGGAGAAGGAAGAGGAGGAGGAAGGCCCAGAGAGGGCGAGGTCAGAGTTCTGAGCAGAGCATCCCTGCAGTACGGCCTTCCTGGCTGTACGGGCCTGACCTCAGTGGGGCGGAGGAGGCTGCATCTCCGAGCCAGGCAACCCTGACTCTCACAGCCCATCCTCCCTGCCCACTCAGGGCCAGCCAATTGGGGTGAACACTGCCAGCAGAGCCGCCAGTCCCCCATCGACATCGTGACCAACAAGGCGAAGGCGAACGAAAACCTGAGACCCTTTTCCTTCTCTGGCTACGATAAAAAGCTAGAGTGGACCGTGCAAAACAACGGGCACACAGGTAGGCTGAACGGAGGCCCTGGGCACCCCCCTGAGTTCCCCAAGCACTGGGAGGAAAGGGCTCCCCCAGGGAGGGCATGCCAGCCCCAGGACCAACCAGGCTGGGGACCAGGGGCAGGTCACCCAGGGTGGAGGAATTTGGACATTACCCTGAGAACACCAGGGCACCAGACAGAGGTGTTGGAGCAGAGAAGGGACCAGGCCAGGGCTGCGGTTTGGGCAGTGGGGGCTATCCAGGAGAGGGAAGGCGGGCAGCGGGGCAAGGGAGGGGGCCAGGGAAAGGTTAAGGTGGCACAGGAAGGGTGGGAGGCAGGAGAGAAGGCCTGTCTGGGTGAAGCTGGGTTGAGGGGCTGGGAGAGGCTCTGGGAAAGCTGGTTTGAGGACCCTGCCCCCTCTCATGCTTCAGTGGTCATGTCGCCAACGACAAATGGGATTGAGATCGCAATTGCTGGAGGAGGGCTGTCTGCTCGGTACCAGGTCACACAATTCCACCTGCACTGGTCTAGGGTGATGAATGCAGGCTCAGAGCACAGCATCAATGGGAAGCGCTTTGCCATGGAGGTGAGGGTCCTCTGCGGATTGGTGTCCTGGCTGGGCTCTGGGCGTGTACATGCCTTAGGGAAGGAGAGTGTTCCAGCCCCCTCAAAGGTCCACTCTCTATCCCTCCCATCCCCCACCAGATGCACATAGTACATCAGAAAGAGAAGGGGACATCAGGGAACAATAATAACACCCAGAACCCTGGAAACGATATCGCAGTGCTGGGCTTCCTGGTGACGGTAGGACTCCCATCACCCCGCTCCTGGGAAACGGTCTGAGGGGCTGCTTCTTAGGGTCTGGAGACCTGGGTTTCTGGCAAGGCAGGATGAGGCAGGGGAGGTCCGTACTTCCCCTCTGTTTCTGGTTGCTTGTATGCCCCCAGGCCAGGTGGGGCACCCAGAGCCTCAATCCCAGAAGCTGCCTACCTCGCCCCAACCCACATCAGGAGAATGAACTGGCCGTCACCATTGGCTCCCCTCAGACCTTCTCAAGTCCCCTTCCCTCCCATTCCAGCCTGGACCTAAGGTGAATGATGGCTTCCGGCCGCTGGTGGAGGCACTGTCTAAAATTCCCACACCTGGTGAGTCAGGATCCGGGACGAGGTGAAGTGTGAGGAGGGGGCCTCTCCCCAGCAAGGAAGGGGCAAGGGTAGGGGGGCAGCTGGGCTCTCAGAGTTGGGGTGTGAGGGGCTCCTTCCCTGACCCCCACTGACAGTATCCTCTGTCCCCCAATCCCCAGAGATGAGTACCACCATAGGAGGGATCAGCCTGATGAACTTTCTCCCCACGGAGGAGAAACTGAAGCGCTACTTCCGCTACCGTGGCTCACTCACCACGCCATCCTGCAACGAGACGGTTGTCTGGACTGTGTTTGAGGAGCCCATTGAGCTGCACACAGACCAGGTATGCAGGGCCCCTCTGCCTGGCTCGCCAGACATTGTCCCTCTGTTGCCCCCAGAGGTCCCCTGGGAGTGGGTGAGGAGCCCCAGGGAGCGGAAGTCCATTGGTTCAATCCACACTCACTAGAGACAGTCAAGAAGGGTGTGGGCTGTTCCATCCCAGGATCGGAGCTGGATGGGAGGCTGGGAGGGGCTGGTTAGAAAAGGCTTCCAGGCTGAAACCCGAAGGGCAGGTAAGAGCAGGGAGCCAGCCTCTGGGGAAGAGGCATGAGCACGAGGCAGGATCTTTGGCCAGGAGGTGCTCAGAGGCAGGAAATATTTCATTTGTTCAACAAATGGTACCTGAGTTTCTACAACATGTCAGGCTCTGGGGAGACAGCAGTTAGCCCAAAGGGCCCAAATCCCTGCCCTGTGGTACTTCCATTTCCTAACGGTGATTCTCAAAGTGTGGTCACTAGGCCAGTGGCATCAACATCATCGCCGGTGGGAATTTGCCAGAAATGCGAATCCTCAGGCCTCACCCCAGAACTACTAAATCAGAAACCCTGCGAGTGGGGCCCAGGCTTCTGGGGCCCAACAGGCCCCCCCCCAGCTGATGCTGATGCACACTCAAGTTCGAGAACCACTGTACTACAGTCACAGTGACAGTGGTGGTAGTAGTCGCAGGCCCGCCAAACTGTGAGTTAAAGGAAGCCAAGCCAAGCACTTTACGTCCCTTATTCCCAACATCTTCATAATGACCTTGAGAGGTGGGGCTATGGAGCCCCTGTGGCCCGAGCTCCTGCTGCTGCCCGCCCCACTGATCCCCCTCCCTCCGCAGATCCTGGCGTTCTCCGATAAGCTGTTCTACGACACTGAACGAAGACTGAAAATGACAGACAATGTCCGGCCTGTGCAGGCCCTTGGTCAGCGCACAGTGTTCAAGTCGCAGGCCCCAGGCCAGCTGCTACCCTTGCCTCTGCCCGCACTGCTGGTCCCCACGCTCACCTGCCTGGCGGCCGGCTTCCTCTGGTGACGGCTCACTTCTGCACATGCTGGGCTCAGCCCTTGGACGTTTGGGCTTCCTTCCGTTCCTTAGGCTTCCCAGGTTGAACTTTAGGCATGATTAAAATATGTATATATTTTTGGAGAAACTTTTCTCAAGTCTGTTTTTAGCTTCCATAACTGCCCCACCCTGTTCCCCTCAACCCACCCCGGCTCCAGGGCAGGGGCCTTAAGGCCTGCATTTCCTCCAAGCAGGTACTACCAGGTGTCCCCCCTCCTGTGTTTGTGAATTCCCTGTCTACACCCCCCTCCCTTCCACTCTGGCCTCAGAGAGATGCTGAAGGCACCTGGAGCTCCCACACAGCCAACGCCAGAGGAGCTGCCATCTGATTTGGGGGAAACTAAGGCTCAGCAGGAAGAGGCTGGATGAGGGCTGCGTGTTGAGGCTACAGCAGTGCCGACTGAGACCACGCTTTCTCCTCTGTACTAGGGGCAGAGACAGGGGGGCGTGGGTGGGTACAGCCCAGGCAGGTGGGTGACAGAAAGTTCGTTTGTTTGCCCAACTATTTCTTGAGCATCTATGTTCTAGGTACCAGGGCTGTGGCAGGCAATAAAACCGGACAGAAATGCCTGCCCTCCTGGAGTTCATGGTCCACTGGAGTGACAGACTATAAATAAAATTGACACATTGTCTAATATATCAGAAGGCAGTAAGTGCTAGTGAGAAGGAAGTCGGGGGAGGGAAGCTGCAGTTTACACGGGTGGTTGGGGAAGGGGCATCTGGAAGATAAGAAGGCAGCCATCTGGGGACAGCAAGTCTGCGTGGTGGAGGAACAGCAGCAGAGAAGCCAGCAAGGAGTGGAGACAGTGAGGGAGGGAGGGAAAGCAAACTCAGGGAGGCAGTGGGGAACATTGGTCTGAGCAGAGAGAGTGCTGTCAGGAGAGGGCAGAGAGCAAAGGGGACGACTCAGAGGCCATTTTGGCTGTCCAGGAGTAGGATCTATCACAGGTCAGCAAGGAGATGTCAGAGGAGGAGGAGTTGGGTGAATCAAGGGTTTGGGCCTAAGCCCTTGTCCCTGGCCAGTCCCACCTCTACAATGCTTGTGTCTCTTGAAGTTTTTATCCTTCCTGGGGCTGGTGGATGGAGTGAGAATAGGAGGTGGCAGGTGGGGAGGGGAGGGTCCAGACCCCCAGGGGGAGAAAGAAAGAAGGGAACCCCCAAGCCAGGTCAGGCCCTTGGGCACCAAGCGCAGAGAGGCCCCAGGCCCTCGGACCTCACTGGCCAGGCCAGGGCTGTTGTTTTGGAGGAGTGTGAGCTTAAGAAGCAGGGAAGGGGATGAGAACAGCTTTGCTGAGCCAGGCAGAGACCACAGGGCCAGGGCTGGGGTCAAGGCCAGGGCCAGAGCCAGTTGCTGGGTTTGGTGTGAGGGCAACCCCTCCAACAGGCTGGAAGTGGTGAGCTTCCCCCCACCCCTCAGAAGGTGTGCAAGCCTGGAGTGCATGTAAGGGGCTCTGTCACCCACTTCTAAAGGCCTCCCTGCCTGTTGGTCTGGGAGGGGAGCTGGTTGGAGGCCATAATCTCTAAGCCTTGTGTCACCTTGTGCCTGTGCCTTGGACCAACCAGCTAAGCTGGGAGAGGGAAAAGGGCTGCTCCCCCTCCCACCCACCCTTCTCCTCCCTCTTCCCTTTTGTGACCAAAAATAAGTACCCTCCTCCCTCCCCCAGTGACCACACAGCCTGGAGGGGTGTTGGTACTGCTGTTGCCATGGCAACAGCAGGCAGCTTGTGTCAGCAGGGGGTGTGTGGACGCTGAACCTGTTTCCCTGTTTCCCACACAGACTGCGGGTGAGCTGGGGGGGGAATCTAAGCTGCTCCCCCTCCCCCCACCCCAGGGCTCAGGACTCTGAGGTCAGAACTGCCCCCAACTACCACCCCCCACCCTGTTCCTGCCCTCAAGGCAAACTTCACTGAATTATGTGGCGGCAGGACCAGGAAGTCCTGGCCTCTCCACCCCTAGGCAGAAGGACATGACCCTCCCCTGGTCCCTTGGCCCCATAATAATAAACCTGGCCGGCAGGAGCCAGAACAGGCACAGCTTGTCCAGCGCTGCAGGGCTCAGCCCACCTCTCCTTGTCCCACCTGTCCTCCCTGAGGCCTGTTGGCCAGAGCAGGTGCTGCCAGCACACAACTTCTAGCAAAGTCACTCCGAGTCAGCGCCCCCAAGAGTGGGCAGCCTGCCCCTGGAATTGGCCCCACACCCCAGAGACTGAGACTGATGGCATTCCTTCGCGTGTGTGCGCGCGCGTGTGTGCGCGTGCGTGCGCTGGAAGGGCTTCCTCTTTTGAGTACATTCACTCCCTCCCTGCCGCCTCGCCCCTCCCAGCAGACCCCACCCTAGACAGGATGGCTCTTAATTCCTTGTGCCCAGCCTGGCCTGGCTCCTGAGACAGTCCTCTCAGAGAGAACAGGGGGCTACAACGACCCCCTTATTCACACACACACAAAAAACGGCCCAGCCTGGCCCCGCCCCCAGCCCTACTTTCATTCACTTCCGGTGCCCCTTGGGTGGCGCATTAGGTGTGCGCACGTACACGCACTTCTCTGCGGCTGGCCAGGCCTGGCAGAGGCTCAAGGACTGATAGTTTTGTCCACAGTCTGACCTCTCTGAGGGTCACTGGCTCGTTCCTCGTCGGTTCCCAGCACAGAGTGTGAGGCAGGCACGTTTGTTGGCTGCCTGCTCTGTGCCGGGCATGGGCCTCGCTATGGTCCTCTCAGGGGCTGCAGTTTCTCCGGCCTGGCTGCGTGGATGAGGGAGCTGAGGCGCAGGGGTTGGGGACCTGTCAGAACCTGGGGTCACTGCTCCGCACCTCCTTGGCTCCCACGGCCAGCTTTCTCCTTCGGCAGGGACATCTGCGGCCCGGGGCCTGCAGCACCCGGTGCTACCCTGTCTCCACCAGCCACTCTCCGTCCCCAGGGGGCCGTCTCTCTGGGCCCCTGTTTAGATTTAGTATCCGGGTGGGCGCCAGGGACTAAAAATAGTCCCTATGTGTTTAGATGAATCTTGGAAAATAAACTTCCCCATCTTGGCCCTCGGTTTGCACGCTCACTGGCCCTGCTTCCTGTGGCTCTGATCTGACAATGTACAGGGAGAAGGTGGAGAACAGAAGGGTCTACAGGGGGCCCAGAACCAGGGGGCGCATGCGTGTGTGTGTGCGCGTGCATGCGTGTGTGTACGTGCTTGTATTCGTACAGGCTGCTGTGTCACAAAACTCCGGAGGTGCCCTTTCAGGGACCACATTGTGAATGGTGCCACCAGTGTCGTGTGACTCTGAGGCCCTGGGCTCATGTGTGTGTTGGGTGGGAAAAGGCAGGGGAGGTGGTGGCCCTGCTGGCGCAGGGGCATGGCTCCCTGCGCTTGGCCTCGATTTATCCATCTGCAAAAGGGGCTAAGTGTAGTCCTTCCATCTAACTGGGCCTGGCTGTCCTGGGTGCTTGCTGGCGACCTTGAGAGGAAGGCCAGGCCTATCTCCGTGGTTGGGGAACTGCTCCTGCACCTCACATTACACACAGTCCTAAGGGTTCTGTTTGTTTATCTGAGTAGGGACAAAGGCATAACTTCCTCTAGGGATGAAGGACGATGTCCCGAGGCCCAGGGAGGGGCTTCCTCTGGAGCAGAGCTGCAGGACAGACGAGTCACAAGCTGGTTCCTTCCGCAGAGCTGGAGTCTCAGCTGGACACGTGGCAGGCTGCTCAGGTTGTTCCAAGAGTTGGCTGCCACAAGGCCTGGGAGGACAGGAAGAGGGACAGAGGAGGAGCAGGAGACAAGGAAGGCACACAAGCACATTTTGGAACTAGATTTAGTGTTTCAATAAGATTTAATCTTCCAACAAACACTGTTATTTCCTCTGCTAGTCTGGGCCCTTCCTCCAAGACTCCCAACCACAGGGGAGACACTCAGGTACACGAGTACCAGGTATACGACATATGGGCCTGGAGAGGGTGCAGACACACTAGAGCAGGAACCCCAGAGTCACACAGACCTGGGATTGAACCCCCTTCTGCTGCTAACTAGCTAGGTGCCCTTGGTCATTTAATTTACCCTTCTGAGCCTCAGTTTCCTCACCTATAAAATGGGAGTGATGACAGCATTCACATCACAGGTTGCTGTAAAGATGAAACAAGATGCCTAGCCAAGAAGATACATATTCAATAATGTGTAGATATTACTGATTCTTTTTACCAGAGAGGCCACCGAATGGGGGGTGTAGGGGAATGGGGAGTGGGGAACACCGGGTGGAGGCTGGGACCCTGGGAGTGACACACTGATTCAGCGTGGCAGTTCTCTCCTGTCCAAGGGAGAAACCAGAAGACCACGGTGGGCCCACCTCTCTGCACAGACACTTGGGGACATCCCCCAGCACTCTGTCCCAACCATACACAGTGCAGTCCACTGAGGCAGACCTCCCAGGCTGAACTTGCCTAGAGTTGCCTAAGGTCGCCCAGAACAACAGAGGGAGAGAAAGGGCCCGTTGGGGGCCAGGGCTGCTCTGCAGTCCTTGCATCCCTGCCTTGTTTGGTGGAGGTCAGGGCTGGAGTCCAGCGGAGCACACATACCAAAGCAAGGCCACCCTGGCCCAGGGCTCTTCCTGCTCTCCTGCTGTGGGGATTGGCCTGGCTGCGGACCAGTTTCCCATCTCACTTTCCTCTCCCCCTCCCCAAGGAGCCACAGGACTCTCGAGTGTGCCCTCCACCTTGCCTGCCTCTCTGTCCCTGGCTCTGTCCAGGTATAGGTTTTCCTGCAGCCTGTCCTGTCTACTAGATTTTCCCCAGCACAAGGCCTGTACCCATCTAGACAAGATACAGGATAAAATACAGGATGCCTCATTATTATAAATTGGGATTTCAAATAAATAACAAACAGGCCAGGCGAGGTGGCTCATGCCTATAATCCTAGCACTCTGGGAGGCCAAGGCGGGAGGATCGCTCAAGGTCAGGAGTTCAAGACCAGCCTCAGCAAGAACAAGACCCCCGTCTTTACTAAAAATGGAACGAAATTAGCTGGGCATGGTGGCACACGCGTGTAGTCTCAGCTACTGGGGAGGCTGGAGCAGGAGGATCACTTGAGCCCAGGAGTTTCAGGTTGCTGTGAGCTA